CTCGCCCACACGGCTGCCTCTGTTTACCCGCCGGCCGGCGCCCTGCACACGGCGACATCTGGCCTAAGGCGCAAAGCCCCGAGCTGCAGCAGTCCTGTGTGCCCACTAACTCGTCCTGTGGCCTTGGGCAATCCTACCCCCCTCCTTCCCACCCTCAGTCCTGCCATCAGTCAGCCCCCAGATACTCAGGAGCATGAGATTCCTGGTAAATAGAGCTCATACCCTAGGGAGGAGGTCGGGCTCACCAACAGCAAGGAGTGAGGAAGAGAAGGAGGTAAAGGAAGTTTTGGGGGGACCATGCACACAAGGTGGTGGGAGGAAGTCGCTGAGGAGTGACTGGGGAGGGAATCCACGGCAAGGGCAGGTTTCTGCCTAAAAAAGAGCTTGACTTGGCAGCCAGAAGGGAGGGGACGCAGAGTGGCCAGAGCCAAGAGAATGAGGGTGTAGGGTGGGGTAGGGGAACAGAAGGGAGACCGAGTGGTGCCTTCACACAGGCTCTCCCAGCATCTGGCTGCCGTAAGGAAAGGCCGGTGGCTGAGAGTGGAGTCCAGTCAGGAGAATGGCGTGTGAATGCACATGGAGGCCAGCCTGGTGCAGGGCCTGGACTTGGAGAGGAGGGGCTGGATCCAGGATAGCTGGAGAGGTGGGGGCCGGCACAGGGCTAGCCTGTTGCCTTGCACTGTGAAGGTCTGTAGGGGGCTGGCAGGTGGCCTGGTGGTTAAGGCGGCTGGACTCCCACATGGCTGACCGCGGTTCAAGTCCAAAACCTGGCAGCTTGCTTTCTTACTTTCCTTCTCTCTGTCTCTCTCTGGTCAACCTCAAAAAAATAAAATAATGACAATGAATAAAATTAAATAACAAATAATTCTTTAAAAATGATTGTACGACCAAGCTGTAGCCAATGGAACAGGGGCAGAATGACACGTGTCACTTCCAGGCTTAGCCCGTAAATCCCTGTCCCACAGCATACCCTCCACTCCCCCCACCTGCAGGCTAAATGCAGAGACCAAGTCTTCAGAAGACAGGGCTGCAAGGTGGAAGGAGCCTGGCTGCCTAAATGACATGTTGCAAGGCCACCTAGCATCAGGAACAGTCACTCCTAACCTGTGGTCAGCCTCTGAGATGCAGGGGCAGTCTGTCACTGCAGCTGGTGTTACCCTCATACATGGTGCAACAGGTCTGGCCAACGGGTTGGACGTGGAGGGTGATGGAGAGGACTCAAGGATGGCTCCGAGCATTTGGGAAGCCTTCTGCTGAGCCCTGCACCCGACAAGTCTGCTCCTGCCCACCCCAGCACCAAGGTGATGCTCCATTCAGAGTCCTGGGTGGATCTGCACGGTAACCCCGGGCCCAGGGCTGCTTCTCCTGCGGCTGTCAGGGCCAGCCCTCCCGGGTCTCTGTCGCAGCCTTGGCGTGCATCACCAACCCCCATGCCCACCATCCTTCGCTCCAGCACCGTAAACGTTCTGCTCCTCGTGGGAAAGTCTCACGTTACTCAGAACGGCCCTCTCCTCATCCATTCCACACCCAACTCATACTGAGTGCCTGCAGGGGCCAGGCACGGGGCGGGGGGTGGGGGTATGGGGCGCACTTGGCCCATTTCAGTACACTTACTGCATCAGCCCCGCCTTCTCCCCTACCTGCAGCCCACTAAGGCTCCACTTATCTTCAGCTGTCAGTTCAGCTGGACAGCTCCCTCCCATCCCTTCTCCCCACGTGGTCCCTAGGCTCCTGCATTCTTGCTCCTCCCACGGCACTACATTCTCATGTTCTATGTCTGTGTCCTTCCCACCCCCTCCCACACACACCCGCAAAGACAGAGACCCAACGTTGGTCACCTTCGGACCTGGCACAGACCACACGCCCAATGAGTATTTCTGGACCAATGAGCAGAGTAGCATGTAGAATTGAAGAGCATGGACTCTGCACCCCAACTCCCGGGTTCATACCCCACTTCTGTTGCTTACCAGTTATGTGAACTTGGAATGTCTCCATTTTCCCTTCAGTAAAATGGAGTAAGAGAAAGTTCCTCTCTCCTAAGGAGCTGTGGTAGGCAGAAGAACATTCCATCGAAGAAGCTTAGGCCCTGACCTGGAACCCGTGACTGCGTGAGGGTGTATGGCAAAGGAGAATTCATGCTGCAGCTGGAATTAAGTTTGCTGCTGGCTGACCCGAGAGGAGAGATTACCCTGGATTATCTGGGTAGGCCAGTGTAATCAAACAGACTCCTTGTAATTGGAGGAGGGAGGCAGGAGAGACCCCGGGAGAAAGACAGCCTTATGTGCTAGTATTAAAGATGGAGAAGGGAGCTGCAAAACGAGGAGAGGGGTGACTTCTAGAATCTGGAAGAGGCAAAGAAACAGGCCTGAAAGCCCCAGAAAGGCTGCTGTCCTACCAGTACCTTGAGCGTAGCGCCTGGAGACCTAGGCGGACCTCTGTCCAATAGAATCGGGAGGTAATTCATTTGGGTTAAGCCCTTCCATGTGTGATCAACTGTGACACAGCACAGGGGACTGTGATGTGAGGGTCAGAGGAGCAGCAACGTGAAGCCCGGGAGCACCTGGCTCCAGGCACACCTGGCCCCGAGTCTGCCTAGAGGTGTCAGCCACTATTCCAAGTCTCACAAGCCAGTGGATACCTGGACCTGGAGGATGTCAGACCCTTTGCCTGTCCTGACCCAGTGCCTGGTAGAGTGGGCCTTGAGCCCCTTGTTCCCCTGAGAAGCAGGTCGGCAGCGGCCCAGAAGCAGGGTGCTGGCGGTGAGGGTGCTGGCGCTGCTGCCTCGGCCTGGTTTTAGCAATAGCATCAGCAAGTTTCTGATTTCAGCTTAAACTTCAGAGGCGAGAAACTGGGCTAACATCTCAGAGGGGGGCCGGCAGGGTACCAAGAAGGGCCAGAAGAGCTCGTGGGGACAGTGGGGTTGGAGGAGTGGCTAGTGTTTAGAGAAAGGGCAGGGCCCACCAGGAGAGGACAAGGACCTGGTCTGGAGCACAGCTGCAGTGGACGAGACCTGGGTGGGAACTCCAGCTTCTCCACTTTCTAGCTGGGGCTCTGCAGACAGAACAGTTCTCTGTGCCTCAGTTTTCCCACCTGAGGAGGGGTGCTCACCTCGTAGAACCACGTGAAGGACTATGAAAGCTATCTCAAATCGCTTTCCAAATGGCTGTTCCCTGGTAGCTGTGTTTCCTCCCATTTCACAACTGTGTACCTGCTTAAGTCAAGGATTATTTTTGCAGAAGCAGGACAAAGCCAAAGGGGCTGAGCACCCGTCTGGGCAAGGTGCAGTCATAACCACCCCTGCTGGCCAGGACACAGAAGCCCAGAGAGGGGCCCTGGTTTGCCAGGTGCTTGCAGCCAGGTTGTGGCTGAGACAGGACTTGAACTCAGGATTGTCTGGCTCCCGAGGTCACGGTCCTCGTCAGGCAGGCTGCTGCTGGCTTTAGTGCCCTCCCATCATGCCTCTGGACCTCACTCCTCCTGTCTGAGATGGAGCCTTGGCTGGCCACGCTCCCCGGCTGCAGTGAGCACCCTGTGACATGCAGCTGAGAGGTGCTTTGTCAAATGTGTCCACTGGGGGTGGGTACTGTGAGGCCCATGGGGAGCTGTCTGGCCCTGCTGGGCAGGTGACTCTGCCTGTGCTTGGCATTTTGGTTTAGTGGCTCTATTTTAAGCTAGAGGAGGTTAGAGTTTGTGTATGTGTGTTTCTCAGCTCGGAAAACCGTCAGCTGAGCAGTCACCAAAAACAGCAACACCCCAAGGCACTCCCTAGGCTCCTCCTCCCTCTGCCTCCTTCCCTCTTGCCTCCTTTGGGGCTTTACCGGGATCTGGTGATTTTCCTCTGTCCCATTATGCCAGAGTTACACCCGTGACCCTGCAGCGAGGCCTTGGACTTTTTTGTCCAGAGCCCCAAAGTTGGCGACATGAGGACGATATAAAGGCAAGCCTGGTCCCTGCTGGGCCCTGGGCGCCCACCTATCCCTTATGAGTCTAGAGCCTCTGAAAGCTTCGTGAGCCAGGCCGGTCTTGCCAGCTCATGTCAGGGAGAGGAGACTGAGGGCCAAAAGACGGAGGAATCATCTAAGGCCACACCCAGGAGGGGAGAAAGAACATGGGTTTCTGAATGAGCCAGAGCTTGGCTCCCCCAGGCAAATGGCTCTCCCTCTGAGCCTCGGTTTCCTCGTCTGCGATCCATGGGTAGGAGGGTCAGCCTCACCGTACTTCTATGAAGAGGAAATGGAAACGTGGAAGACGTGCTCAGCACGGAGAAGTGCCCAGCAGAGGTTTACCTCTCCCCCCAAATCTGTGGTGTTCCTTGTCCCACACCACTTTGCCCCAGCCTTCTGGGATCTGAAGGGATGATTTTTTAAAAATTCATTTTAATCACTTATTTATTGATTATTACTAGTATTTTTAATTTTACCGGAGAGAGGCAGAGAGAGAGAGAGAGAGAGAGAGAGAGAGAGAGAGAGGGAAAGTGAGAAAGCAAGCCTCTAGGCCTGGGACTCCAATGGTGGTTGGCCATGTGTGAATCCAGTACCTTAACCACCTGCCAGCCCTAAGAGATTGATTTTTATGGTTAGAATATAGTTCAGTAATTTTCCAAGCCAGGCTTTTCTCCTGATAAAATCTTCTCTTGTCTCTTCTGAAAGAATGGATTGTTTTAACCTCAGGGGACAATAGGTGCCAGCTTCCTAGTGATGTGACCTTTCTGTAGCCCGATTATCACTTAGGGATCTGGGTTGCGAGAATTAAAAGCTGCGTCTTGCAAATGGAAAGAATGATATTGGTAGGATTGGGGGTCTTTTGGAATTTTGGGGGCACTGGGAGGCAAACCAGATGGTTTGGGGAGACTCAGAGGTGCAATCTTGAATATCACCAGGGAACACTATCGCCACGCCCAGTGTGAGTGGGGATGAATGACAATAATATGAGCATGACGCTGTCTGAACGTCGGGTCCAGCCAGGGCTCTTTGGAGGCGTGCTATGTGTCTGTGGCCATTTGATTGGAGCCACTGAGAGTTTATTCTTTAGCTTCTTGAGGATTAATTCCTTTGAATTAATGGAGCTATAAAATCCTTTACTCTGGGCAATCATTTAAAAATCGAAGTGATGGGAGTGGAGGGGTTTATTAAACTATACTTGGGCCAACCAATGGCGTGCTGGTTAAGGCAGCTGAATCCCACACGGCTAACTACATGGTTTGAATTCTGGACCCAATGGCTTGAAAAAACATGCAGGGCATGTGTGCATGTGTGCCCAGAATCCAGAGAGGAGAACTGAGAAGAGATTGCAGCGTGGCCATCCCCCATGGGTGTGTGTGTGTGTACACTTTCTCATACTCTCTCTCTCTCTCTCTGTCTGTCTGTCTCTCCTCTGCGAGCACAAATGCCCTCTAGCAATTTTTTAAGTACCTTTTTGGGCTGCCTGGTATCACAGGGGATAAGAGCTTTGCACAGGGAACGGTGTCCCACATGGCTGACCATGCTGACCATGCATGGTTAGGGTCCTGGTCCTGATGGTTTGAAAAACACATGAAATGCATGTGCGTGCATGCTCAGTCCTCTGACAGGAGAGAGGAAAGGGGACTGTGGCACGACCAGGCCCCACTTGGAGGACAGTGGACAGAGAGGCTTTGGCATGTGCCCGAGGGGATCACGGTCGGAGGGAGACATGTTCAAGGAGCTGTACCCCCTTCTCTCTGGCCATGATGACGGGCAAGCCAGGCCTCACATCAGCATCTGTCAAGCCCCTGCTCCAGGGAATGGTTCTTTACAGCCTAGAAAAGGCCTGTGTGTCTGTACTGGTCATGCAGAAGGAAGGGAGAAGGGAAGATGCGGCAGTGCAGAGGACAGCGGCAGGGAGAGGGTGTCCTGCAGGTGAGAAAGGCGTAGCTGGAGCACACAGGAGGGTTAGCTCCAGGCAGGGACGGGGACTGAGACCAGAGAGATCATCTGGGGCCATCCAGGATTAGAGGTGGGAAAAGCAAGCCCCAGGAGAGGGGACAGTCTGGAAAAAGGCCTGGAAGTGAGAAACTGCCCAGAGAGGGTAGCCCAAGGCAGCCTAGAGCACAGGAGAGGCTGGGAGCCAGCAGGGCCTGCGAGCACAGAGTCGGACCCACCCAGAGGGCAACTCAGCCTCAGAGGGGCTTCAGCAGAGTGGTGTGCCGTGCCTGTGCATGAAAGATCCTTCTGGCTGTGCAGCACAGCCCACGTGAGGAGGTCGCTGACAGTGGGTAGAGGGACTGGGGAGCCATCCAGGGGACAGATGGCCGTGTCCCGGCTGAGGCCAGGCAGTGGCTCTTATAGGCGTCTATTTAAATAATGGTTTTAGAGAAGAAAACTACTGCATCCAGCACAAATAGCAAAGACCTCTAGGCCTAGCTCTATCGTCTGGGGCAAGTCCCTTCCCATTTCTGTATCTGAGAAACAAGAGGTGGCATTTGGGTCCAGCTGAGGCCTCCTCCCCACAGGCAGGCTCTGGGCTATTCATGCACTGAAGCGCCACTGGGGGGCAGCAGCTCCTCAGCTTTCCTCTTTTCCAAGCGTCCTCTAAAGCCACACGGTTCATCTTAACGCAGATTAGAATGAGGTGAGGTTTGTTCAAACACTGATTGCTGCGCCCTGGCTCTCAGCTGGGTAACTGATCCTCCACGTTAAATTTCTCTGCGTGTATTATGGTGAATATGAAAGAGCACCTACCAGGTGGGTCTCTATGTGAAGGTCAAAGGCAGACTGAGCGTGCCTCTGCTGCGGAAATCACACAGCGGTGCCTCTGAGGACGGGCCGTGGGGAAGGGGCCGGCGGCGCCTTCTGAGATGACAGAAGTGAATTGTACCTCCTTACAAGTGCTGGTTACATGAAGGCAGGAGGGTGTGGTCTGTGCCGAGATTCATTGAACCACGCACTCAAGACCTGTGCATTGAACGGAGTGTGAATCACACCTCAATAAAATGAGTGTAATAAGAAAAGGCCTGGTTTAAACATCAAGAATGTTTTCTAATTTCCTGCTTGGCTCCTGGTAGGCACACAGCTTTTACTTTTAAACAAACACAAGCAGACCGTGGAAGAGGATGTACAATTTATGTGCTTTGCCTTTTTTTTTTTCTTAAACAGTAAAACATGAGACTTCAAACAGCATTTCACACTTGGGTTGGCTCACTTGGGGCTCTGTTTCCCAGCCCTGGGAGGTGTCCCTCACTCTCCTCTGTTGGTCTCTAGTCAAATCTTTGAGAAGCACAGGCCCATGGAAGGTTATTTTTTTTTTTAAGAATTATTTATTTAATCTTATTTATTATTTAAAATTTGCTATAGGGCATGTGCGCTCACCAGAGAGAGACAGAGAGAAAGTGAGAAAGCAAGCCACCAGGTTCAGGACTCAAACTGCAGTCGGCCATATGGGAGTCCAGCACCTTAACCACCACACCACCTGCCGGTTCCCGGAAGGTTAATTCTCGCTAACAGAAATCAGGTTTCAGAGATCCTTTAAGGCCTGCTTCCTGACTTCCTTCAAGACTGCGATTTGGCCGAGTGAGGAGTGAGGTTCGCGGTCTGCCCTGGATGGGGCGGGCTTTCTCAGCACATGCGGGACACATTGTCTACGCCTAGACTCATATTCGGGAGGATTTTATGAAACTCCAAGAAAGGAAGGGGAGATTCAGGGTGTCCGTGTGCCCCCTCTTCACCTTTTCTGCAGAAAGGTGCCAGCCTAGCTCACCCCTACTGCAGCCTCATTGTTCAGGGAATGGTTGTCCCGCCTGCCCGGGGGCAGCTAGAGAGGAAGCCGCCATGTTTGATAAAGGCTATGGAGCCTGGGAATGCACCAGAAGCCCCTGGAAACCTTGGTAAGGCTCCCTGGTTGTGAGCTAGAGGAAGGGGGCCCGGGTCATGTACCCCCACTGTATCTCAGGGTCCAGACAGACCTGGGAGCTTGAGAACATTCTCGTCCTCCTGGCCATGGATGATGTCGTCCACAGCTAAGGGCAGGGCCCAGGCACAGGGCCACCCGCGGGGGGTAGTGGATGTCACGTCTCCATTTCCTGCTGGCTCTAGAAGACGCTGTTCCATGAGCTGTAGGGCCTGGCAGGTGGGCAGGGCCCAGGCAGGCACAGGCGGCGCTGGGTCTCCAGTCGGCAGAAGTGGTTCTGGTTGGTCACCCGAGTGGCCACGCCTAGCCCACAGGTGGTCGAGCAGGGACCCCAGGCTGTGCTCCATTCTGGGCAGGGGGCTCCAGGGGGTGGGGGAGCGATGAGGCTGGAAAACTGGGGTCCTGGAGGGAGAAAGAGGAGTCAGCCCTGTGTGCTCCGGGCTCAGCAGCCTTAGTCAAGGACCTCGGTTTCTTCTCATGTACATTTCCTCACAGTGGGCTGTTGGGGTTAATGACATAACGGAAGTGAAATACTTAGCTCAGCGCCTGGGACCGTAGGCACCCCACAAATACTGGGTGCCAGGGAGCTAGGACGCTGCTGGCCATGATGGTGCCCGGTAAGCAGTGAGCCCCCGTGGCTCTGTGGTCAGTAGCGTCTCACAGCCAGGCGCTACCTGCCTGGTGTGGTGCCGTGAGAGGTGACAAGGACACTAACGGTCACCGCTTCTTGCCTCTGGAACATCAGCCAGCCTTCCCTCCCCCAGGCTCCTCCCTCTCTGTTAATATTTGTGCATTCCGTCCTAGTCCTTTCCACTCGCGGTTCTTGCCGGGCGTCACTTGTCCCTACTGATTCCTCGGAGAATGTCTGGGTGTGTGGATGTCACAGCTGGGGGTGGCCGCTGGTACCCAGTGGGTAGAAGTCAGGAAAATGGCTAAGCACCTCACAACTCACAGGAGAGCCCTGGCGCCCCCAGCCCCCTGCCTGAGGATTACTCAGCCCAAATGTCCCTAGCTGACGCTGAGAAACCCTGCACGTCTACACACACGTGCAATGCATGTGGTGTATGTGTGGACGTCCACCTGTGTGTGTATGCATATGCAGTGCATGCGTCTACACCTACCTGTGTGTGCACACACGTGTACGCACCGAGTTGTGCGTGTGCACACACACACGTGTCATATGTACACACAGTGGCCAGCAAGTTGGTGTTAGGGTTTCTCTTCCTGCCTCACATTCGGTAACAGCTACCAGCAGTGTGGTCCTGTCGCGGGGCCCTGTCGTAACCGCTCTCCTTGCACTGATTCACTTAGTCCTCACCATAAGAGCTCTCTCCTCTTATTTGCTCCTTTTTATAGTTGCAGGAACTGAGGCCCAGAGAAGTGAAGAGACTTTTCAGAGTCACACAGTGGAGAAGTGGTGGAGTTGGGCTTAGAACCTGTGAGATGCCACACACTCCATAGACTCTCTGGCCTTCCCTGCAGGCAGCATCACTTCTAGAAACCACCCTTCTTCAGCTGTCTTCCTTTTTAAGTCACATTCATGTACTACTGATTACTTTTTGAATTTTCTATTTTATTTTATTTTGATTATTATTAGTTTTGGAGAGGTTTTTGCTATAGGGCATGTGTGCTCGCCAAAAAGACAGAGAGAGACAGAGATAGAAAGCAAGAAATTACCCCCCAGAGGGGATGGCCACGCCACAATCCCTTCTCCTCCATTCTCCTCTTGGGATCTTGGGCACGCCCGTACATGTGCCCGGCATGAGTTTAAGCCACCGGGTCTGGGACTCGAACTGCGGGCAACTACATGGGAGTCCAGAGACATAGCCATTACACCAACTACTGGTCCCTATTTTTTTTTTTTTAACTTGACAGGAAGAGACAGAGAGAGGGAAAGGGAAAGTGAGAAAGCAAGCCACCAGGTCCAGGACTTGAACCACAGTCAGCCATGTGGGAGTCCAGTACCTTAACCATACCACCTGCCAGCCCCATCATGCACTACTAATGATTTTTTAAAAGTAACATAACAAACTCTCTAAAACTGAAGAGCTTATAGCAAGTGGGAAGTAACTCTTGTTCATCTCTGCCCACCCCTCGGCCCATGTTCCAGAGCCACCCAGCCACCTTGCCTAGCTCAGTTCCTCTTTAGGTAAGTCCAAATAATAATTAATAATATTATGTTATTAATATGTATTAGTATAGGGGCCAGCAGGTGGCGTGGTGGTTAAGGCACTGGACTCCCATATGGCCAGCTGAAGTGTGAGTTCCAGACCTAGTGACTTGCTTTCTCGCTTTCCCTCTCTCTTTCTCTGGTCAAATTTAAAAAAAAAAAACGATAATAAATTTTAAAAATGTGTCAGTATATTAAAAATGTTTATTATAATAGTATACTCACATACCATTTTAAAGAGATTTTTGCTATAGGGTGCATACCTTCATTGGAGAGACAGAGAGAGAAAGCAAGAAATCACACACCCCTCGGGAGGGGGAGGAATGGCCACACCGCAATCCCTTCTCCTCCATTCTACTCTCAGGATTTTGGGCACACATGCACACACACCCAGTGTGAGCTTTAAGCCACCAGATCTGGGACTCAAACCCCAGTTGACTACGTGGGAGTTCAGCAGCCTAATGATTAAGCCACCTGCTGGTCCCACATCATATCATATTATGTCTGGTATGAATTGGGAGAATTTGACTCTAATTTCTTAACCCTACTTCCCACTCCGAACCCAATCTTAATTTGTAATTATTTATTATTTTTAATTCCGTATTTATTTATTTTTAAAAAGGACTTATTTTATTAAACTTTATTTATTTATTTCAATTTGAGCAGAGAGGAACAGCGTGAGAGAGAGAGAGAGAGTGGGAAAGTGAGAAAGCAAGCCTCCAGGTCCGAGACTCAGATTGCGGTCGGCCACATGGGAGTCCAGCGCTTAAACAACCCGCTTCTTGCTGGGGCTTGAGGGAGCCTGGTGCTCCTCCTCTCCCTCTCCCCGTCTCCTCAGCCCTCTCCCAGCTTCCGTGGCATCCCTAGGTCCTGGTACCTAAGAGGCCCTGTCCCCCTGGCTCCCTCAGGCATCCCATTGCGCCCAGCTGGCCCCCGGCACTCACCTTGGACTGGAAGAGGCTGGACCCCCAGCCCCACTCCCTGGTCGCATACCCACTCTGGGCAGCACTTGCCCGGGACCTCGACCCTGCGTGGGTGGGGACAGTCCCAGCTGGGCAGCCGGATGTCCTCGCTGCACAGGGGCACGCAGGTGAAGCCTCCGTCCTCACAGCGGCAGCGGACCCTGCAGTGGGGCTGGAAGGTCTCCCCGTCTCGGTACAGGCGGCCGTTCACCTCGCAGCTCCCGTCGTCCTCGCCCACTGCACAGGAGAACCCAGGTCAGTGGGCGTCCACCCTCTGCAGAGCTGGCCCAGCGCGGCTGGGGAGGCTGTGCCCTCCCGGGACCTGAGCCCCTGCCCTCCAGCCAAGCAACATTCCTCCCAGCCCCCAGCCCAAGAGAACCTGTAGCAAGGCAGCCTGGCACCCTGATCCTGGCACAGGGTTTTCAGAACGTTAATTGGTTGGAGCCTCAGCTCTGCCCATGCTTAGCTATGGCCCTTGATCAAGTGACGTCACCATTTCTTGCCTCAGTTTCCTCATCTGCAAAATGGGATATACTGGTACTTTATAGGATGGTATAACCCAAAATGAGGGGACGTAGCGTAGGCATCTAACACGAAGGAGACCATCCCCAGATCCCAGTGCTCTGCTATAGTTGGTGTAATTGTTACACAATAATAACAGTTAGCCATTGTGTACTCATTATGGTGATTCCATGCAACGAACGCATCTTCCACCTCTGTAGTCCTCACTGCGAGGCAAGGGCTTAACTTGCTGGCTGTGTGACCTGGGCTAAGTTACTTAACGTCTCTGAGTGTGACCTGAACAGTAGCAGTAAGACAGTCATTTATACTTTGGGGTACATGAGATACTATGTACACGGCGCCTAGCGTGGGGCTGGGAGTGCAGTCAGTGCTCTGAGAACCCTGAATGGAGCCCTCAGAGGTGGGCGTCACCACCATTTCCTCCCCTGAGCACGGATTCTGTGAGCTGGAGCCCGGGATGCATGCTTGGCACCCTGTGTGTCTGCTCAGAGCCTGGACGGGGCACGCAGAACCTCCAGAAATGCCCCTTGAGTGTATACCTGGCACGTGAGACCCTAATCACGTGAATAGTTCTGACTCCTCGTAACTCCAGGGATATTTCTCGTGCCCCTGCCCCAGGTGGCTCTAGACAGGGACAAGACAGTTCATGCCACCACGGTCTTTTGGGTAGTTGACAGAGGCGAAGTCACTGTCTCCGAGACAGCATGAGGAGGGGAATGAGCTGCTTGGGAAGTGCAGAGAGACTCTGCACCCACACTCATGTGTGGGTGTGAGAGTGCACGAGTGTGTGTTGGGGTGCTTCCTGGAGACCTGGGTGGCAACTGAGCCAGCTCTGCTGGAGCAGGTTCTCCCAGGACCGCGGAGAGAAACCCGTCAGGCCCGTACACACACGGGGCTCCAGAACCATGCACGTTTGGGTTCCCCCCCTGGGGCCCGGCTTGCTAGCTGTGAGACCTGGGGCCAGTTACTCCACCTCTCGGAGCCCCTGCACCCGCCCACGGGAATGCTGAACAGTTAACATCAGAGCGGGCGGACTTCGAGCGTTCTGCTCCAAGCCTGGCACACAGCAGCTGCTCGGTCGTGGAAGTGGGTTATGCGTACGCTCCTGGGGAGGGCAGGACCGGACCAGCTCCTCTCACTCCTTCCTCCCCCCAGGCCACAGGCTCTGGCTCCTGGCCCTGACATTTTGGCCTGGCCCACGTGGCTGCTGGTTTCCTGGAAACTGCACCTTCCTCCTCCCCAGCCTGGACTGGCTCCTGGTGCCCTGTGCTGGGCCTCCAGGGTGCTGGATGACCTGTCCTTGAGGGCTTGTTCAGGAAAACCAGCAGGATCCTTGTAGCGTTTCCTGCACTTCCCTGGGGTCCTCCAGCTCAGAACTGGTTGGGGGCGGGGAGGGAGGAAGGACGCCATTGACCCAGGATCTGGGCTCCCTATGTACAGTCCCAGATGTCGCCGGGAGCTCCTCACCTCTCCATACCCATATGCAGTTATCAAAACCCGACCCCTGCTTCTGCAACGTCCCCTTCCCCAGTACCCTCGCTCAGATAACGCCCTCCCTGGAGTTCCCACGGCCTCTTCTAGGCACACACAATCCTTTTTGTATTTGTTTGTTTGTTTACTTTTGGAGTTTGTTTTAAGAATTATTCTTTTGGGAACCAGCAGTTAGCGTATTGGCTATGTCGCTGGACTCCCACGTAGTCGACTGCGGTTCACGTCCCGGACCCGGTGACTTAAAAACTCACGCCAGGCGCATGTGCGTGCGTGCCCAAGATCCCGAGAGGAGAATGGAGGAGAAGGGATTGCGGCGTGACCATTCCCCCTGGGGGGTGATTTCTCGCTTTCTGTCTCTATGTCTCTGTCTGTCTGGCGAGTGCACGTGTCCTATAGTGAAAAACCTCTCCAAAAAAAAAAAAAAAAAGAATTATTCTTTTAATTTTATTTATTATTATTTTTTTTTTTAATTTGCTATAGGGCACATGTGCTCACCAGAGAGAGAGAGAAAAAAAGTGGGAAAGTTAGCTGCCAGGTCTGGGACTCAAACCGCTGTTGGCCATGAGGGGAGTTCAGAGCCACAACCACCATGCCACCTGCTGGCCTCACAGAGGCACTATCTCATCATCTGGGGATGTCTGTAGTCTTTTGTCCCGTCGGGGAATCCCTTATAGGGGCAGCAATGCTAGGATTTTGCGTGTTGGGAGGGGTTGTTTGAGTACCTTTATTGTATACTGTGTGACCTTAGGCAGGTGACTTAACCTCTCTGAGGTCCAGTTCTCCTATCTACAAAATAGGGGTAATAACAGGACCTACCTCGATATTAAGGACAAAATGAAACCTGACCTGTAAAGGAGTTGCTCACGTTGGTTCCTATACCGCGAGTCCCCTAGAACTATTTTTATTATTGATTCACTCAGCAAGTATTTGCTGACTGCCTTCCATGGGCAAAGCCCAGATCTGGGCACTTGTGATCCAGCGATGCATAAAACGGCGAAAACCCTGCCCTTCCTGGAGTTTCTGCTCTCGCGGAAATAAACACAGTAAACTGGTGGGCTTCTTATGTCAGCTGGTGACAAGTGCCAGAAAAACAGAGGAGGGCGACGGAGAGGGGAGAGAGTTGCAGTTTTTAAATGTGGTCAGGGAAGGTCTCGCTGAGACGGTGATACTCGAGTGAAGATGTGAAGGAGACAAGGAACCCTCCATGCAGGTGTCTGGAGACAGGACACAGACAGGAGACAGGACACAGACAGGAAACAGCCCACGCAAAGGCCCTGAGGTGGGATCCTGCCTGGGGAGTTTAAGGGATAGCCAGAAAGCCAATGTGGCCGGAGCAGAGAGCAGGAGAGAGGGAGGCGGGGAGGCCAGAGAGGAAACCGGACCGCGATGCCCTGGGCACTCTGGCTTTTAGTCTGACGGATGGGCAGTCATTGGAGGGTCTGCAGCAGAGGAGGGACGAGATCTGACTCGTGTAGCAGGAACCCTCTGACTGCTGAGTTGAGAATAGACCAGAAGGCGAAGGCAGAGCAGAGAGAATTACGGGGCTGCTGTGAAATCCAGGAACACAGTGGCACGTCTCAGACCAGGCTGGTAGTGGTGAGGCTGGAGAGCGTCCGATTCTGGAAATGCAGTGAAGAATTTGCTCGTGGCTAGCGCGTGGGAGGTGAGAGAGAGAGACAGATGGAAGCAGTGACTCCCGGTCTCGAGCCTGAGCCAGGAAGGAGGGGCCTGCTGTCACCTGACCGGGAAGCTACAAGTTTGGGGGGGTGGGACAGCAGGAGCCCCATGTTGAGAATCTGCAGCACAGCACAAGGCTTGGCTTGGAGCAGCCTGGGGGGGGAATGATGAGGGACAGGAGCATGTCCTCGCAGAGCCCGGAAGTCAGACTCAGCCCCTGCGGGGGCTCTCCAACTGCAACATCTCAAAGTGGTTCAGAGCACCGAGCCTCAGGAGCACTCTCCATGCTCCTGGCCCTGGGCTGGGCGCGGCAGGAAGACCAGGGACCAAGTAAATTCTTGGCTTCCGAGTATTTAGTCTGAATTAAGCTACAGTAAGAAAAGCCCCTCAGAACTACTGACAAGAATAGCCACAAGTCATATGCTGAGTGCCAGGCAGGGGAGGAATGGAGCTCGAGCCCTGAGTTCAAATCCCAGCTCTGCTACTTAATAAGCTATGTGACCTTGAGCGGGTAACATAAACTCTCTGGGCCACTTTTTTTTTTTTTTCCTATTTATAACTTAGGAATGACATTAGTTCCTACTTAATATGGTTGCTGTGAAATTAAACAAGTTGATACCCATGAAACCCTCAATGCCTGGCACGTGGTTCGATAAATAAACTCTGTCAAGTGCTTCACACGTGTGCCGGCAGCTCTAAATCAGGGCCTGCAGGCTAAGTGCCACTTAACTCGGGTTTTTCTGTGTTTTCTCTCCAGCCTCACTGCTACCAATCAGCAACCTTCCGCGAGTTTACACAAGTCACCCCTTTCTCATGACTCAGCTCCCCTGATCAAATGCAGCCCTCACCGTGGCCTAGCGCTGATAACGCTCTGCCGTAACTGGCTGGTGTGGAACCAGGCTTTTCTCAGATTCGCCGTCAGTGATTCATCAGTCTCTCTCTGCCTTCCTCTCTCGTTTTTATTTTTATAAAAGTGGGACGAGCATATAGATGAAAGAGATGAGTTGTTCTATAAGCCTGATAATCTTAAAAAAAAAAAAGAAAGAAAGAAAGAAAGAAAAAAAGAGGGCCAGCCAGTGGTGTGGTGGTTAAGGCAGCTGGATCCCCCATGGCTGACTACACAATTCGAGCCCTGAATCCAGTGGCTTGAAGAATACACCACGTGCATGCCCCAAATCCTGAGATGAGAACGAAGGAGAAGGGACTCCAGGATAGCTGTGTCCCCACCCCCTGCTCAGGGGTGGTTTCTCACTTTCTCTCTCTGTCTCTCTCCAGCGATCGCACACGCTCAATATCCAATTTTTAAAAAGGAAGGAAGAAAGAAACAGGAAAAAAGGAACAATCTGTTCCCTCTTTCTATTTCTCTAGAGCAATGGTTCTAAATTGGTTTTTTTTTTTTTTTTGAGAGTTGCTCTCCAGAAAGACAGAGAGACAGAAAGCGAGAAATCTGCCCCCCCCCAGGGGGGATGACCCCGCCACAATCCCTTCTCCTCCATTCTCCTCTTGGGATCTTGAGCACACATGCCAGCGTGAGTTTAAGCCACCGGGTCCAGGACTCGATCCGTGGTCAACTACATGGGAGTCCAGTGACATGCCATTACACTAACTGCTGGTCCCACACACTGGGGGTAGTTTTGCCCCTGTGGGAATATTTGGCAATGCCTGAAGACAGACTGCCATGACCTGGGGGAGGCGCCACTGGTGTCTAGTCGGGAGAGGCCAGGGACACCCAGTCGTCTGCATGCACAGGCCAGTCCCCCACAGCAAAGAAGGATGTGGCCGCTAATGTCACCAGAGCAAGCGTGAGACCCTGCTCTGTGTCTTCAGCGGATACCGAAGCAGGGTGGGGAAAATTTAACACGCTCAAGGCCCCCAGTCAACAGCAAAGCTGGGAGGCTTTGCAAACTGTGGGCCGGGGGCCCCCACTCCAGGAGCCAAGAAGACAGGATTGTTGCTTCAGAGCCTGCTCCTTCAGGCTCCAAGCTGCGTGACATGAACATGAAGTGCATTGGTTAAAACTCTGAGCCTGGGACCAGCAGTTAGCGTAATGGCTGTGTCGCTGGACTCCCATGTAGTCGACTGCCGTTCGCTTCCAGGACCCGGTGTCTTAAAACTCACGCCAGGTGCGTGTGCGTGCGTGCCCAGGATCCTGAGAGGAGAATGGAAGAGAAGGGATTGTGGCATGGCCATCCCCCCTGGGGGGTGATTTCTCGCTTTCTGTCTCTCTGTCTGTCTGGCGAGAGCACGTGCCCTATAGCAAAAACCTCTCCAAGAAAAAACCTCTGAGCCTCAGTCTCCTCTTTTGTAAAATGGGTCTGATTTTCGGGAGGCTGACGTGACCTGTATAGTGAGTGCTTAGCATAGAGCCTGACACCTGCTACATCCTAAAGAGGGGGATGGGCTCTTTTTCCCCCAAAAATATTGTGAGGATCCAGGGAAGGGGATGATGACTACTGGTTTGAAGAATCTGGGAGGACTTCTCAGGGGAGGCGTTTGAGCTTGGCTTTGATGGTTGGCTATGATATGGAGAGGTAGGAGAGGAGAAAGGCTGTTCAGGCGGTGGGCATGGTCTGAGCCACAGCCAAGAGGGGAGAGGTGGGGAGTGGGGCAGGAACCTTGGGTCACCAGGTTCAGCTGCAGTGAGCAGTGCGACTGAAGCAAGGCTAGGAGGAGAGCCACAGGGGGCGCTGCTCTCGGATTCTGGACTCCGACCGGGCCCTCCCACGCACCCCTCCAGCAGTCCCGCAAACCTGCTTACAGAGGCACACAGCCCCCTGGCCGCCAGGGCCCTCCCCCTGCTGGCAGACCAGGCCCTGGCTGGCGTCGCAGACGTGGAGGTGGTCGCAGGGCTCCCCCAGCCGCCGAGCACAGACCCGACAGCAGCCGCAGCCGTCCAGCACCAGGGGCGCCCCCGGCAGGCATCGGGGTGGTGGCCAGGGGCAGGCACATGATGTGGGGCACAGCTGGGCACACACCTGAGGAGACAGAGACCTCGCTCAGCCATGGGGTTCCAAGGTGGGCAGTATGGGCCACAGCTTGGCCTCAGCCTTGGAGATCTCGAACCCAGCAGGCCCACGGTGCTCCCTGAGGCAGCAGGAGCCTGGGGTCAGGAACTAGGACTGAGGGCGAGAGCTCCTGCCCGACTCTGCCCCTTATTAGCCGCGTGGCCTTGAGCAAGCCACGTAAGCGCTCCGAGCCCCGGGTCCCTCATCTGTGAGGCGAGGGCAGTCGTGTCTACCTCAGGGGGCTGTCTGAGGAGTTTGTGAAACCACGGGCATCCAACCCTCGGCACCTGGCCTGACAGGCGACGGTTAGCTGGGGTGATCGTGACCGTTAATGGCCACAGAGGGCTCAGCCCAGCTCTCCAGGGCTCACAGAGAGGCACAGGCGACACACCAGACTGAACAGCAGGGGGCATGTTTTTCAGCATGGACACTATCTCAAAACCAAGGTATCGGAGTTTTTGATCTTTGGAACAATTCAAACGTGTTTCCCAGCCCAGCTGTGCACCAAATCAGTCAACAAACTTGGTAAAATAACGACCCCCAGGGTCCCTCGTGGGCTTACCAAATGAGGAGCCCCAGGGGTGGGACCCTGGAATCTGTATTCGAGCTGTCCAGGGGGTTCTGGAATGTGGTTAGGGTTTTGGCACTGCTGACCAGTCTAACCTGCCTCCCCCGCCAGGTACAGATGGGGAAACTGAGCTCCGCAGAGGAGGAAGACTTGCCAGACATCAGTGTGTTAGCTGCAGGGCCAGGCAATGCCAAGTCGCACTCCCCAGGAGGCCCCAGGGATGGGGATGGGGTAGACTTCTCCTGTAATAGGCAGGGTGGATGTGTCAACCCAAGCGACCCAAATGTCCCTTCCCATCCAGGGCAAAGAAATAACCAAACTGCACACCAGATGCCATGGGATCCTTGGATGCCCACTTGAAGACCAAGAGGTAGGTCCCCCCACAACAGAATTCAATATATTCCCAGAGGCCCCAGTGGTGGGGCCCAATCTTGAGTAGGATCCTTGGGAGATGAAAGGGCTTTGTCTAGACCAGGGAAGACTTGCTGTTTAGGAAGATGAGATTAATGACCTGATACCTCCTGTGTGGGCCTGAAGCAGGCACAGACCCCTTGGCCCTAGCCTCTGCCCAGCCCTAGTACCCCCGAGTCCTGCAAATCTGCTTCCGGTTGCCTGCAGATCCCAACCTGGCCACCAGGCGCCCTGACTGTCCTGTTCGTTTGTCTCAAACTGGCCGACCCTGACCGCAGCTGGTAGGGTTGCAAACTAGGATGCAGTGACTCTCCCACCTAGGACGAGGCAGAACATGCCTGGCTGCTTCATAAGGAAATGAGGTTCCATCTTTGCAGGAATTTCCGTTCTAGAGAAGATGCCCAGCCTTGCCCCTCAAGGTGTAGTCAGGGCCAACAGCAATAGCTGAACAAGCAAGGAGATTGCTAGAAATGCGATACCTAGAGGCCAGCAGGTAGTGTGGTAGTTGGAGTACTGAACTCCTACAAGGCCGACTGCAGTTCGAGTCCTGGACCCGGCAGCCTGAGAATCACACCAGGCGTGTATGAATGCGTGCCCAAAGTCCCCAGAGGAGGAGGGAGGAGAAGGGATGTAGCATGACCGTGTTCCCCGGGGAGGGGGGATGATATCTCACGTTCCCTCTCTCTGCCTCTCTCTCTCTCTCTCCAGTGAGTGCACATACCCTATCAAAAATAAAAGAAAGAAAAAAAAGAAAGAGAAAGGAAGAAAGAAAGAAATACAGCACCTAAGTCCCTTCTCTCTAAATAAATCTGAATCTGCATTCCAATAAATCCAAAAGTTTCACGTAAAATTGATCTGAGAAGAAATAGGCTAGACTCCTGGGTTTCCTTCCAAATCAGAGGTTCAGCTCCCTTGGTGTGTGGGCCGTGAGGGACCCTGACCAGAATGGACTCTCGCATCCCTCCTACCTGAACACGGGGCCCAGGAAACAGACCCTCTGCTGCATACCAACTCCACTGCAGGCCCTGTCTCAGGCAAGCATGGTGGGGGCTGGACTCTGAGGTCCTGACACCTGGAGAGGACATCTGTGGGACCCGTGATCACAGCTCAGAGCGACCGCACGTCACACCACGTGGATACCAAGCACTGAGCCGTTGCACTGTCGAGCCCAACCCTCCGGGGATGGCTTCATAATTTTGTCTACTCTGAAGGTGGGAAACCACGCTCACTGCTCACTGCCGTGTCGTAAGAGCCGGGCAGAGGCAGAGTCAGGATCAGAACCCAGGTCCCCGGGAATCCAAGGTCAGACTCTTGGTTACTACACCTACCACTTGTCCCCTAGGGGCTGTGAGGCCAGCTTAGCCTCTGCAACCATTTATCCATTTATTCTAGAAGGACAATGACAGTGGAGAGCCAGTGTTTGGGCATAGCCAAGGAGTAGGCCCTCCCCGCCTCCCTGGATCCCCGTACTCTCCCTAACCGCCTGTCTCTATGTTCAGGCTGTCCCATTGTGCCTCAGTTTCCCCAGAGCCTTGCTTGGTCACTGGGAGCAAGACTTGGTGGGAGGAGTACCTGACATGGAGTTCACTGGATGAGCGTCAAGATCGAGGTTCCCCCACTGACTTGCCACGTGACAGAACACAGGGCTTACCCGCGCCTGTGGCCTCGGGGCGCGGTGTTCGCCTCCACACTATGGAGTGGAGGCCGCCTCTCTGAGAGATGACGGGGATGGAAGGAGGCCCTGGCCAGCTCCTGCGCACTGAGACTTTGCAGGCCTCTGCCTCCAGCCCTGTGCACAGCCCTGAGTGCAGGAGCCGCGGCCTGGCCTGGAGAGGGCGCTCTGTCCCTGAGGGCTGGCGTGGCCTTGCATGTCCGTGATGGCCCCGGGCTTCTGTGCAGGGTGCTGCCCGGGGCCCAGGGACCAGGGACCAGGGAAGA